GTTTGAGATTTCAAAGTCTAATAGTGGAGATGCCTACGATTGACAAAAGTCAGTGGCTGGATGCTGCCCCAAGAGCGCTTGGTTGGCTTTTTACTACATTCTTGGGCAGTTTCGTTTACATAAAATAGAGCAGGGGAAGTGTGAAAGAATACAATGGCGGCCCAAAATGCCTAAACTTATCAGCAAAGCCTCTCCCGAAACAAACCGAAAGAAACTTGAGTCAAGCTAGCCTGGGACGTTCACAAGTTTGGCTAACTCCATCCTTCCTCCTCATCTCCCAAAGTCTCCTAGCCTTACTTTGCGTCTCCTCATTTACGAAAATCCCTTTTGTCAGCTCTATCTTACCCTTCTCAATTTGCCATTAGTTTCATTGATGACGATAAATTTTTGCTAAAAATTTCGTCTCCTCTAGTTGCCAAAAAGGAGCTAAGACATAATTGTGGCGCCATCACCAGAATTGTGTCAATGGGCCTAATGATGCCGTTTAATTTCGATTAGCATTTTCGCCCAAAATGTTTTTCTATCCAGACTGGACTGAGGGCTCGACCTCGACTTGGTCTCATCATCGCCCTAGACGGGATTTGAGACCGAGCGATAGGCCTCGTGGCAACAAGTCATCACCCCACTACTCGGCTACAGGTGTTTCAGGGAAAATGTGATTTTTAAGGAAAATCTTTCCTTTATTGTGGGACTATAGTTGAGGCGAATCTCTATTCGCCGATACAATCGAAGACGTTACTTATTTTTAGATTAAGTAGGTTTAGATATTATTATTATTATTTGTGGAATAAGAACTTATTTGCGATGTGACTCGTTTTCAAGACTAGCCCTTATTCTCGAATAACAGCCCAATCAGTCTAGGTCGCTTCAGATGGTTTAAGGACTGATAGTTGAATAGTCCCGCAATGAGATGAGTAGAATGCCATTACATTTCACGTAGTCTTGCATATTTCGTGTAGGCTGTACTTGGAGGTAGTTTTGAGCTCGACTTATTGTCTCATTGTCTCATCGTTTCATCAGCATTCCCAACGAGACTCGAACCCAAGTCGTGAGTATTGTGGTCACTTTACCATTGCACCACACAACCACGGACGCTAGTGTCACTGGGCAAAAGTGGCATTCAAGGCAAGACAGTCTTAATGTAAATCACCTCAACACAAATTTTACAACTTAACTTATTTTCTGACCCTGATTTCGCAATTCGGTTATATCGGCCGGCACCGTAGTCGGCATCTTCACTGAGTCTTGTCATTATTAGCATCACACTACAACTCGTCAAAGAGACCAGAATTGTTTAGCAGACAATCAGTCAAAAGATTGGCTTCACTTGTCTCTTTGACAAGTTGTGTGGTGCTAATAATGACGAGATTCACCGACGATGCCGGCGAAACGTCTGGGAATGTATCACATCAACGGTTCAACTTTGGAAATGATCATGCATACAATGGACTCCAGACAAGGCGTGTTCGGGATTGCCAGTAATTCTTTTATACAAACCAGGTCAGCATTGATGATCAAAGGTGAATATTGAGTAGTGATACTGGAATTTTTTGCGACATGATTTTCCATTATGCTAGAAAATTTGGTTAGAAGGACTTTGCGATGTGGTCTCATCTGAAACTGAACGAGGATTGCTGCATAAGGAAGACTTCTGAATTGTGCAAAGAAGTCCTCGGCTCAACGTTCTGTGACCCAAATGCGACTGTTACGCTTTCATCTGTACCACGATGGTTGAAACTAACAGAGCAAGCAGGACGGTGAGCCGAGGATTTCTTTGCACAAGACAACAGTCTTCCTTAAGGGGCAATTCTCCTTCGGCTTCTGGTGATATCAAATCACAAATTTTCTCCAACCAACATTTCCTTCGAAATGAAAATCCATGTCACAATATCTCGCTAAGGAATTCTTTGAGGCCCAGCTTTTGTTTACATTGGAATTTTTTATTTGTAAGTTGGGGTTAAAGATTTGTAGTAAATCACATATATGAGATGTGTTTACCATAGTTCGTTTAAGGTGATGAAGGATTAGTAGATACGAAGAGAAACTTGGTTTCGATGAATCTCCTGAGATAACATTGTTAGGGGGA